GTCCTGCCTCTGGGTGCCCCCTCATCCTGACCTTGACACCTGTCCCCCCTCACGGCACCCGTAGGCCAGTGGGCCCCACTTCACTGACCCACGAGGAAATACCAGCCCAGGGAGGGAAAGCAGAGAGAGCTGCTCGAGGCCACATGATTGCTGCACAAAGGACACCTGCACACATCATGTTGCAAGGCCTCCTCTGCCAATCAAGATACCGGGCGAAACACCACACTGGAAACCTACAACAGAAGCACGACCATCATCCTCGGCATGCCCACCACCCTCCACACGCCCACCTCAGCCAAAGCAGGGCTCACGCCCTGTGCAGGGTGAGGGCACAGCCATCATGTAGGGGGATGCTGTTTGGAGACTTCCCAGTCCAGCAAGCAGAGATGATGACACCCGGCTTCTGGTTAATAAGTTCCAGCAGGTCACAGTGTTGCAAGAGCAGACAAGCAGGGCAGCCAGGCCCCAGCAATCTCCCACCAGCAGGCATGGGCTCCCACATGGCCTCCGAGGGCCTCTGCCCTGCCCCATTCCTTCCCCCAGGGGCCTTCTGGGGTGACCTGCATGTCTCAGAGTTAGGGACATTCCTTCTGGGGATCAGGCCCAAGGGAGGGACACGGACAAGCCCTTCGCGTATTATAAGAAGCAATTCTGTTGTTTAGGGGGAGAGAACTAGAGATCTCTCCATGTGTATTTAGTTCATACTCCATTTGCGGAACTCCACAGACCATCTGGAATGGAACCCCAGTCTGCCCAGATCATCCGTGGGCACAGTGCCATCAGCTGTGCCTCCAGAACCCTCCGGATCCCCACTTCCACCTTCCCTGCCCCCAGCCAGCCCCGGGTAGGCCCCAGGGCTCTCCCTGGGACAATTACTAAGACTGGAAAGAGACACCTCACCTGCCTCCTATTTCTCCTCGCCCCACCTGGGTGATCTCTAAACCCATGGGGCTTCCCACTACTTACAGCAAACCCTGGTTCCCATCCAGGCCCACCAGTACACCACCACCCTTCCCAGTTCACCACTCGGCTCCAGCCACAGCAGTCTTTATTGCTGAAATATTTTGATTTCTGTGTAGGTTGACCCCTCTGGAAGGTCAGTTCTACAGGGAAGGGGAGTTTTTGCTTTTCTGTAACCCCTGTGCCTTGCCCAGTGCCAGTGACTATTTATTTAAAGACTGATGCCCTCTGACAGCCATAGGAAGAACACCCCAGACCCTAGCATCCCATTCAAGGCTATTCATGACTGAGCCCCAACTTAGAGTATCTTCCTGCCTCCCATCCCACCATTCTCTCTCAAGGACCCAGAGCCCCACCCACAGCACATCCCTTCACACCCCAGGCCATTTCACTCCTCCATGCTTTTCTCTGTGCCATTCCTTCTGCTTGCAGTTTCCTCTCCTCATTTTCCTACCTGTTAAACTCCTATGCAGCTTTCAAAGCCAACACAAGTGCCCCTGCCCTGTAGAATGGAAAGAAAAAGGATTTGGGGTTTCAGCTGGGATTTAAATCCTGGCCCCATACTTCCTGACTTGAGCAAGCAACTTCCTTTCTCTTGATCTTTTCTCCTCTGCCAAACAGGATTACCAGTTCCTGTTCTGCAGAGCTGCCCAGCTGCCAGCTTGCCTCTTCTCACGGTACTCTCTGGACGTCCTCTGAACTTGGGACACTCCAGCAGTACCTGAAGATGGACAGCAGCACGGAGAGCATCTACCAATTTGGCCCCAGCAGCCTCTCCCACTCCTTCTGCCCACCCACCAGAGGAGGAAGCCTGCCAGGCCTTCAGCCCATGTGATTCCGATAGGCTTCCCTCCGCCTCCGCCACCTGCTAGGATAGGCATGTGGCCTAGGCCTGTCCAGTCACAGCCTCCCAGCCCTTCCTGCCACCTGACTGGCTCTGAGATGGGCACTTGAGACCCAGACCGGGCCAATGGACGCCTCCTTGGGACTTTGGCTGGAATCAGTGGCAAAGGAGCCCTCTCTGGCTTTGGGTTGGAGTTGCTGAACTGTGCAGCTGAGAGTGAGGCTATGGCAGAGAAAAGCTAAACTACAGCTGGAGGTGTGATCTGAACCCCAAGATCTATGCCTGTCCGAGGCAGAGGCACCTGGCCTTTTCAGTCACAGGCACAGACCCACTCCCTCCCAGCTGCAGGGAGTCTGAATTGGGTTGGGTTTGTCCTCACCGAGGCTACCACTGTGTGCCATCGGGTGGCCCACGGTCTTAGCTTCCTTGCCTGCCTAGGGGTGAGCAGGGGCTGGGATGGGATGCAGAGGCCCGCCTGGCTCCAAGAGGAACACCTGTGACTCCAAACACTGGGACAGATGCTCAGCCCTGCGGCCGTGGGAGTGGAATGGGGGAAGGGGGCTAGTGCCAACACTGCTCTCTCCAGTGTCTCAGAGGCAGAAGACATAGAGCTGAGATCTTGGATTTTCCTATTAAAAATGTAAGCTCCTCGAGGCAGGGGGATTTCTAAGTTTTGTTCCCCACTGTCTCTCAGCACCTAGACATATGCTTGGCATGAGCAGGCAACCAACAGGTCTGTGGTCCGTGGTGTGCCAGCCACGGGAAGCATGGCCACCATGCCCAGGCAAGAACACAGAGGGAGCCAAGGGGCCGCAAGAGACCCAGGGGTCTGCCGCTGGGCGCTGCCGCTGGGCACTGGGGGTGAGGGTGGGGTGATGAGGGCAGTGGTGCTCTGGGCAGCTGCCCCACCTTTCTGGAATCTCCTCCTCCCTGGGACCCTAGGCATGAGGCCAGTGCTGGTGGTGGAGCCCTGAGGCTGAGGCTGTGGGTGTGGAGGGGCTGCCGCACACCTCCCCCTACTAGAATGTCTCTGAGCTCCCTGGGGCAGCAAGATCCCCAGGCCTGAGCCAGTAGCCCTTCAGTGGCCCCTTGCCCAACTTATGACAGCACTTCTTGCTCTGGAGAAGGAGGGGACGGTGCTGGGCCTGCCCTTCAGGGAGAAGGGGCTGAAATTCCTTCTGGGTTCTGGAGCCCTCATTCCCAGGCCAGAAGCCCTCACAGGGCACAGACCACATCCCTTCCAACTCAGGCATGGCTGCAGAGACACTGCAGGCCCTCGTGAGGCCATTTCCAGAGGCCAAGGGCAGGAGATGCCCCTCCAGCGGGACTACCCTGGCAGGAAAAGACCTTTCCCAGCTGAGTGCCCTCCCTGCATGCCACCTGCAGGCCCACAAGCATGGTCTCAGCCAAAACTTCAGCTCAGGGCTTGGGAGGGAGAAAAGCCAGTGGGAGAGGCTGGATGGGTTGGTCTGGTTAACTCTTGCTCGCCCAGGGTCACTCACAAAGCATGATGGCTGGAAACAGGCCATGGGAGAGGTACAAGAGAGCCTGACAGAAACAGAGAGAGATTCTGAGACGCTGGGTGAGAAGGTCATGGCAAAGGGTAGGACAGGCCAGGTGCAGAGCCCAGCCTGCACAGAGGCTGGGAAGGGAGGTTTGGAGCCACCCTCCTAACACCTGCTGTCTCTTCCCAGGCTCTGCAGGAGAGGGAGCGAGGTCAGAAGGAACAAAGCCCAGAAGGTGACTAGTACCTTGGTTTGTTTCTCATCCCTCAAACCCGGGTAGAGTAGGTGACCTGAGAGAGATATCCCATAGAGACATGGGGACACAGACACTCCATGCGGTCACTCAAAGATGTATGCTCCTTTGCAGACACTCCCCAGGACCCAGGCACTCAGGTGTCCTCTAACATCCCACGCTGAGCCCTGAGGGGCCAGCAGCCACCAAGCCCTGCCCTGTCTTAGTACTGGGTAAACATCTGTCTGCTGAATGACTGGGTGGACAGAGGCTGTGGCAGCCACAGACACTGAGTCCACACCCCAGACTGCCAGGAGACTGTCTGCTCTACACCGCTAGCCAGCTCACAGAAGGGGTGGTGGGGGTGTTGGAAGGAGAGACCCCAGCCCTATCCCATGGGCTTGGGGAGGCATCCAGGTTTGACCTGCTGTGTTCTGGGCACACAAGGGGCAGGGAGCAGTATGAGGGGCAGGGGGAGTGGGCAGAGGTCTCCCCAAGTCCTGATATCCTCAAGTCTTGGGCCACTCCCACCCCCACTGCCCAACATCCCAGCCCACCCTGGACCTAGTTACTTACTCCCTGGGACTGTGTCTGCCAGGTTCCAAGGGTGGGGCCCAGGATTCTCAGAGCCCACACTGGGGGTGGGGAGGTAGACTGAGACGTCCCACCTGGCACACATACCACATACCACATACAAGGAAAGGCAAACAGCCCTGAGGTCAGGAGGCCGGGGTGCTGGCTGGGCCCCTCCAGCCCCAAGGAGATTGTATAGCCAGCATGTTGCCACCACACCCGTCTCCCTACCTCTCTGGCCTGCTTCGGTTTGTGTGAAATGGGTTGATGGGAGGCTTCACATGAGCTGAGGAGAGACTCAGAGCACAGACTCAGCACCGGTGGAGCCCAGGGCACTCAGCTCTGCAGAGTCATGACTAGTTGCCTCAGTTTCCCCAGCCAGACCACGAGGTGGGTGCACAGGAGTCCCAAACCTTACCCGGAGTGGATTTCAGGGTGGAGCAGGGAGTGGCACCCACTGCACAGTAGGACAACCGAGGGACCCGACCGAGTGGCCCAAGCTTGCCCTCCTATGCTCATGGGCCGAGCAGCGCTCACGTCCAGGGGCTCCCAGCTGCCCAGGGGAAGGGGACGAAGGTAAGGGAGACGGCCTTCCTGGATTGGCCAAATGCCCTCTACTCCCCACAACTGACCCCGGTCTCCAGGCACCGGCTGTGGGACCCAAATAGTCACCGCTCTGGGAGTGGGGAGATAACTCCGGAGAAGGAGCAAGAGCCTTTGCTCGTGGGGGCGTCTAGGGCCTTTCTGTGCCCCACCAGCGCCCCTGCCCGCCACTCCTAGCCCCAGCCAGGAAGGAGACGGCAGGTGTCCCCGCCGCTGTGGAGGGTTCAGGCCGCGGTGGGAAGCGTTTGCTTGCGGTTGCGCGGCTGGGCCGGCGAGCACTCACCCGGACTCAGGGTGCGGGGCGCGGCGCACAGGAGCAGGAGCGCGGCGCCTAGACAGGCGGCAGCCAGCACGCGCTGCCGCCAGCAGCGCCTCCACATGCTGTGCCGGGCGCGCGGCGGAGGACAGTCCGCTGGGTCCGGCTGGGGGCAGAGGCGCCCTGGCCCAGGACCCGGCCCCGGCAGCGCAGCGCCTACCAAGACGCGCGGCGCAGCGCAGGGCAGGGGAGCACGGCAACTGGACCGCAGCCCCACGAGCCCCTGCGAGTCGCTGGGGACTGAGTAGACGGGACAGAGTGGGGCGGCAGGCCCAGTCTTCTTTTCGTGCCCGGTCTTCTTTTCGTGCCTGCACCCTCACCTGATAGAATGGGGCCGAAGTCCAGGGCGCGAGGGCGGAGACTGATTGGGGAAGCCCCTCGCCCCTAGGCTCCGCCCCTAGCGTTTGCCCCGGGGTGCCGTTATCCACCCAAGGCCAAGAGGTATTGTCGCGTTGGCGTGCCCCACCCCGGGCGGTGTCCCCTTGCCATTTTGCTGCCTTAGATGCCAGGGGCCCAAGGGCTGATCCGAGATGAACCAAGGAGCCTAGTAGAGCGTTGCCCTGTCCATGGTTCTCTGGGGCCCCTGCCCTCAGTAGGAGGCCTAACAGTGTCCCTCCTTCCCCGACCCAAGGCTTGCTTTCCCTGTACCCTTGCTTTTCTCTGGAGTTTCCAGGTCCTGCCTGAATCTAGCTCGTGCAGATGGCGCTAGCCTCTGGACAGAGAGGGAGTGTCTCAGCTTACATCCCCCGGGGAATGGAGCTTGTTGTGCCTCAGCGTGTCACCCACAACTTCTCTGGGCACCATGTGAGCACTGAGGACTTGCCAGGGACTGTGTGTGTGTGTGTGTGTGTGTGTGTGTGTGTGTGTGTGTTTGTTGGGGGTTGGAGGGGGGGAGGTGAGAGTAAAGTCCAGCCTTTGAAAGACACACACATTCAGCTAGCCCTGTGAGTGGGAGCCCACGCCTAACCGCAGGGTCTTGCTGCCCGGAAGTCAGGCTAGCAGGGAACCGGAGGGTGCAGCTGGCACTGTGTGTGCGAATGAGTGTGTTGGAGACAACGTTTAGCAGTGTGAGTGCATGGGATAGGGTACTGCGTTAAACTCCAGGTTTTTTGGAGGTTTTTTTGTATAAATGTAAGGGACACAAGTGCAGTTTTGTTACATGAATATATTATAAAGTGGTGAGGTCTGGGTTTTCTGTGTAACCATCACCTAAATAATGTCCATTGTACCCATTAAATAATTCCTTATCCCTCCCACCCCACTCACTCTCCTACCCTTCCAAGTCTCCAGTGTCTATTATTCCACACTCTAAGCTCCAGTTGTTAAACTGCTTTTGAAAAATCTGGTGACTCCAAACCCACCTGGTACCACTTACTGCTGTGGGAGATTAGGAAAGTCACCGCACCTCTCTGTGCCCCATTTCCCTGTACAGGGGGGTAATCCTAAACCTCACTGCTGTGAAGATTAAATGAGATACAGGAAATGTTTGCAACAGTGCCTGGCACTCAGTGAGTGCCAGGTAAGTATTTGATGTTAGTAATTAACTTGTTTATGGTTACTGCCTGTTTCTGGCAAATGACTGGTTTCTGTTAAAGTTGTGAAATAAAAATTTCTTCCTATTACATTTATTTAAGTTGTGGAAGATCTATTTAAGGAAGAATATTAAGCAAATAATAGTTCTGCTGATTCTGAGATACAGCTTTAAATGGTGATGATGGTCTCAAAGGACAGAGAGGTGGGAGTCCCCATTCACAGTAAGCCAGAGCTTCTTATCATGACTTTCCTGGCATTGGGGAGCCTCCAGCCCATCCCCAGACTGGCCCAGGACCCAGGGATTCCAGGTCATCTGCATTCCCTGCCGGACCTAACTCGCATCCAAAGGTGCCTTCCAAATTTCCCCAGACCGGCATTCCCTGGCCCCACTGCCTGTCTGGAATCCTCAGCGCTCCTTGCCCTTATGTGCTGCCACCTGGTGGTCAAAGTTGGGAATAACATCTCAACCCTTCATCCGGAGATGTCCCTGGAGATGGGGTCCCTGGAGAGAGGAAGAGATGGTCTTGGGTCTTGGGATGGGAGGGTGCAGATGCCTGGCTAGACGCCCGGGGCCTTGAGAGCTTCCCTGTGAAGACACTCTCTCCCAGGGACTCGCATTCATTCATTCATTCGACAGATACAGAACACCCACTCCGTGCTGAGGTCGGCGTGGAGAGGGTGAGACCCCTGCAGTGCCTGCCCTCACAGCATTTCCATTACAGATGGGAAGCACGGAAAATCCGGAAAAAGAGAGAGCGCGGTGAATGCTGCTGTGAAGAAAACAGCAGGTACCAGGATGGGAAGCGTGTCCGGTGTAAGGAGGGTGCTGGGGCAGGCCTCGGGGAGGTGGCATTGGAGCAGAGATGTGACTCCAGGAAGCAGAAGCCAGCAGGTACCATTGCAAAGGCCCTGAGGTGATGTTCCAGTTGCTGTTGCTAGGTAACAAACTGCCCTAAAATTTGGCCGCTTAAGACAACCATTTAAATTTTGCTCACAATTTTGTGTATCGGGAATTGGGGCATGGGCTTGGCTAAGTATTTCTCATGGGAGTCTCAGGCTGCTGCAGTCAGAAGGCAGCTGGCACTGCATCACTGGGAGGCTCACCCTGGTCGAGTGTCCCACTGCTCACACTGGCAGGTGGTGTCCGTCTGGGAGCTCTGCTGGGCAGTGATGCAAGGATCCCCTCAGGGCACCCTTCATCCTCGGGGCCTCCTGGGGCACCCTCCAGCCTGGGGACCTCCTCGGGGCACCCTCTGGCTTGGGGTCATCCTGGGGGCACCCTCCAGCCTGGGAGTCTCCTTGGGCCACCCTCTGGCCTCCAGACCTCCTCGGGGCACCCTCTGACCTGGGGCCCGGTATGCTGCTCCCATAGAGCCTGGCCATTTTCTGACCTGGCCTGGGGCTGCCTTTTGTTAGTTACCCGAAAATCGCTGAGGCTGGACCAGACCCAGGAGTGGGGCCACACCAACCAACCAGCAGTGCCCGAGAATTTGCAGGCATGTTTTAGAACCACCACCGCCTGTCCCAGGAGCAGCAGGGAGGCTCTGGAGTGGGCGAGGGTGAATGGGTGAAGTCAGAGAGGCAGACAGGGAGTCCAGATCCCACAGGTAGGGTTTTCTAAGCACAGAGGGAAGCCGTCCATGAAGAACAGCTAAATCACAGACACCACCTCTGCTGCTCTGTGGTAGGCAGGGAAGAGGTGGGGACCCGGAGGAGCCAGAGCTGTCTCTGTGAGAGATGATGCTTTTTCCTCGTGGAGGAAACCGTTAGAAAAATACTTCATCTTGTCTGGCGCGTGTCCTGTGCGAGGCACTATTCTAAGCCCTCCATGCGTGTTATCTCATGTGATCCTCAGATGCATCCTATGAGGTACATAATAGACTTTCATTTTATAGATGAGGAAACTGAGGCACCGAGAGGCTCGGTAACTTACCCAAGGACACAGCTAGAAAGTGGTGTAGCCAGGGTTGTTTGAACCTAGCAGCCTGCCATATTTAACCTCTGTGATCTTCATTCTCCCTCTCTTTTTTTTTTTTTTTTTTTTTTTTTTTGCCCAAGCTGGAGTGAAGTGGCGCGGTCTCGGCTCACTGCAACCTCCGCCTCCCAGGTTCAAGCAATTCTCCTGCCTCAGCCTCTCAAATAGCCAGATTACAGGCGCCCACCACTATGCCCGGCTAATTTTGCTTTTTTAGTAGAGACAGGGTTTCACCATGTTGCCCAGGCTGGTCTCAGACTCCTGACCTCAGGTGATCCTCCTGCCTCAGCCTCCCAAAATGCTGGGATTACAGGCATGAGCCACCGCACCCAGCCAAGATCTTCATACTTTTAAATAGTTAGGCAATGTTTGTTTTTAATGAAACTATTTTGGGGTCACTAGATTTGTGTGCAGTTGTAAGGAAGAGAGATCCTGTGTCCCCTTTACCCACTTTCCCCCAGTGCTGAGATCGTGCAGAACCACAGTGCAGTAGCCCGGTTGGGATGTGACATGGATGCCATCTTCTGCACAATGTTCACCTTTTCTCAAATTGGTTGCTGATGTTTAAAACTCAGGAGATTTCAGAAAACCTGCTGGATTTCTGGCTGCTCTTGGGCCGTGAGACGCGGGGCCTCCTGTGCAGTGGGCCCTGGGACCAGGTCTCAGTGCAGTTTGTTGAGGCTCTGTCTGTTGGGGAGTGCAGGGTGAGCTGGGCATGGGAAGCAGCTGACTGAGAAGCAGTCTCCCCACCCTGAGGGGCAAGGGACCTGCGTGCTTAGGGGCTGCTCCCTGGGCAGGTGGGGAGGGGCTGCTAATTCTCCCTTGCAGCTGCCCTCTGAGTGGGAAGAGGACACTCAGGGTCACCAGAAGACACCCTTGAGAAGGCAGCCGAAGGTGCTGGCCACTGGCATCCAGGCCGTACAACTTCTGTCTTGTGCACTCTGTTCCCAGGGCCTGCAACAGCACCTGGCATAAGAAGGACTCAGTGTGGAATGCTTAAGCCTGAGCACCTTTCTGCATGCTCTGTCCCAGGTGGCCCCAGCTGGTGAGGAGCAGAGATGCCACAAGCCCAGTATGAAAACAAACCTTTTCCTTCTTCATTCATACAACACGACGCACCCCAGTCACCAAAGTATATGTGGACTTTTTCCAGCAGCCAGCTTTTCAGCTGGGTGTCTCCTCCAGCTGGGTGTCCCAGTCAGCTCAACTCTGATACCACCTGCTGGGGATGGCATGAGATCCCACAGGTTGAGGGCTTAGTCCCACAAGATCACCCCCTACTTCAGATGCTGCAAACACGGGTTGTGGTCTATGGACTGTGGTTTTGACCACAGTCTAGCTATAAACTGGGTTTTCCAGGGTTCATTTAATTTGCTACTGTGGCTCACAAAACTCAGAGAAACACTTTATTATTGATGTGTACTTGTTTCTTATAAAGGACATTACAAAGAATATAGACGAACAGCCAGATGGACAAGATGCCCAGGACGAGGTGTGGGGAAGACGCACAGAGCTTCTGTCCTTCTCTGGGCATGCCCCTCTCCAGGAATCTACCTGTGCTCAGCTGTTGGGAAGCTCTTCTGAACCCTGTCCTTTTAGGTTTTTAGGGAGGCTTCATGACCTACACAACTGACTAAATCATTGGCCTTTGGTGATCAACTCAACCTTCGGCTTCTCTCTCCTCCCCCAAATCAGGGGGCTGCTGAAAGTTCCAACCCTCTAATCACAGGTTGGTTCCCTTGTCAACCAGCCCCCATCCTGAGGATATCAGGGATCTGCCATGAGTTCCCTCATTAGAACAAAAGGGCTCCGCTCCTGTCACCCAGGAAATTCCAGCAGATCTAGGAGCTCTGTGTCAGGAACCAGGGTCAAAGACCAAATGTTAGAACAAAAGATTCTCCTAGAGTTTCTATCTACCAGGGCCTCAGGAGATTTGTGGCAGGAACAGGGAAGAGACCAAAGCCTGTTTCTTATTCTGTCACAGTCTCACATCACCCCCATTAAGGGCGCCCTCCTTGTGCCACAAAACGGCCAGCATGGATGGGAGGGTCCTAGGGCCAGACCTCTGGGTCCTCAGGGCTCCAGTCTGAGCCCCCCCT